TTTTAATTTTGGTAATGGAATGGTTGAATTATTTTATGATTATCGTTTGATTGGAAATGGTTTCTTATGTGATGGTTTATATAAATTGTTTTTGATTTCTTTTGGTGAAATCTCTTGTGTTACGAATGTGTCAAAGAAAATGTCTCTTATTCGTGAATCATCCTCCATGTTGTGGCATAAGCGGTTGAGTCATATTTCAAAGGATATGATGGAGAGATTGGTTAAACTTGAGATACCTTCTGGATTAATTTCGAACTATCAATTAACTATGTGATTTTTATTCTTATTCTTAGCATGGTTGTCCAGCCCAAGATTGTTTTCTTTATTTCACGTGATTTTTGATATTATTTTCATTTTTAGAACTATTATTAGGGTTTGACATGTATCCCACTATCCCCATATATAGTTGACTCTTCTTCATAATTAGAACAAGTTAGACTTCATTAGAATTGTGATATTGTAATTCTCTCTCCTTTATAATAAATTCTCCATTCTTGTGCTAATTTTTTGTATTCTTCTTGTGTTATGATTGTTACTTCATATTGTGTCATATAATCTTTTTTCTTCTATTCCTAACAAGTGATATCAACATACATAATTCTTGTTCAGATTCTAACAAGTGGTATCAGAGTTTAAGATTTGATTTATTCGAAGTTTTGTTCTTAATAGCAACCAAGAAGTACGATATCCATTTCTGAATTGTAGCACTACATTCTTGTTGTACCAGGTAAAGATGCGAACGATGCTCGCTCAAATAGATTTGGATGTCGCTTTGTTAAGATTTGACAAGATGTCCTCAAATTGATTAATGGAGGAGAAACAATGTAAGATCGAAAGATCCTATCAAATAATTTGTACAAGTGAAAGCATTTTTATCCCAATTTTATTAACTTTTCAAATCAAATTTTCGAATTTAAGAAAACATCTTGCTATTGAGTTCTGGGTTAATATAAAATGGTTAACATTGTTAGGAAAATTCATCTAAAGCCTTATATCTTGATTATTGTTTTCATATTAAAATGGCGTGATATTTATCTTTAACATCTCTCATCTAGATGATTGTTCATTTAAGAACACCAATCTCGAAATTCAGCTATTTGTCCGAATTTTAGACAATTTTACATTGCTCATTTGAGGTTTTTTTTTTTTTTTGGGAGTTGATACCATATTAAATCTTCAAGATTAATCTCAACCTTGTTAAAAAAAAAAAACCCAACTCCTATTCGTTAATTATTGAATTTATATATAAACGACGTAGAACTTTATTCCAATCGCGCTACATGTACCAAGTTGGCTGACAAAGCCACTTGACAAATTGACGTGGCAACAACTAAAAAAAAAAAAAAAAATCAAAATAACAACATCCCTCTCTCTGCCATTATTTCCCTTCCCCGTTTTTCTCTCCCCTTCCCCGTCCCCCAAATGAAACTCACACCAAACCCTTAATCCCAAACAAATCACAAACCTTCTCCGGCAGCCACTCAGTTTCCCACATCAATCGTACCTCCAGCGTCACTGCATTCAAATCATTAAGTCCGCCACTATACCGGCAAAGCTTTGCAAGAGGGAGGGTACAAAACAACTCCATAACTCGAAGATTAACTCCATTTTTTTTTCTGTCTTTACTTTTGTTTTCTTCTCACAACCCCAGAAAAGTCTGATATTTCTTATTGTAAAATTTAACTTACTTTATTTAAAAGTTTTAATTTTTTTTGGTTCCACTACACACCATCTAATAAAGTAATTCAAGAAAGCAACCATTTACAAAAGAGAACTCGATTTGAATATAATGAAAGTGAAATTGATTTCGCATTATTTCCCAGTAAACTAGCCTCTTAGTAGACCCCTCTATCAACTTTCTAAAATTTTACGGTCTATATGATTGAGTCATTGATTAAGAATAAGAATATAATTAAAAAGTTACTTATAAAAAAAAATTTGTTTCCCTTTTCATTTCATCATCAGTAAAACTTATGTTATCAGCAGAAATTTCAGACATTCATGTAGATTATACAACATCAAAGAAAACTAGCCTGCCTAATCCTAAAAGAAACAAGTCGACGTCGGGGGAAATGGTGCCGGAGAGAGAAGATGTATTCAGCTACAGACGAAATAGGTTTCGAGGAGAGGATGAGCTGAGATTTGGGGGAGGTGCCCCGAAGAGAAAATGTTTCAGCTACAGACAACTTCTTTAATTTTTTCCCTTCTCTCCTCCCATTATTTTGGCGCCCAATGCTATAAAATAATCACAGCCGTCCAGTTGAAAATTATCTCGACCGTACACGTCATTTTGTGAAGTGGCTTTGTAAAGTAACTTGGTACAAACAGCATTTTCGACTTTATCCATGAATAATTCCTGCTGTACAAGAAATTGGTTCACAGGGGCCTTACAGGCCCCTCACTATACAGCAGGCCCCATCCAAATGTATTAAAAAATATATATGTGGCCCCCACCCCTTTGTCTCTCACCTAGCAGGGCTATGCAAGCTCTGCTCCTTTATCCATACCAAACCAGTCAATAGCGGATTTAGGGTGGGGCATGGTGGGTCACTTGTCCCACCAGTTTTGAATTTTTCTTTTCTGTTTTTTGTTTTTTTATTGAAAAATGTAATACATTGGTCAAAGTAGTCGAAAGTGGATGTGCATTAATGTTATGGTTATACTGTTTGCAGGATTTTGACATGGACAATCTGTCTAATTATTTGAATAATTCTAATATTTTAAATCAGTGAATAGTGTTTAATATTCTTTTTATTTTATGTTAAATTTTAAAATCATTCTAAAAAAGTTGGTAGTTCTTTTTTTTTCCCCCAATTATTGTTGCATTATATTTTGGGCAATCAAACTATGTTGATCAATTTTTTTTCGTACTTTTTTATAATACAATTCTCCAAAAAATTACTATTCTAAACTCCATTTTTTTAAAATAATAGTTGTCAAACATGAGCTTAATCTTTTTTCAAAAAATAAAAATAAAAATGGGGACAACCGATAAGAAGGAATGAAGGATAGAGGGAAAAAAAAAAAAAGGAAAAGAGAATATAATCAGTGGAAGAAAGACAAAAATAATTATTTTTTAAATCATGAAGGAAAGGTTCGTAGAAGGAAAAATGAAAGAAAAATATTGAAAAGACAAATACTTACTAGAAAAAAAAATTCTTTTGTTAAAGTCTCCTAAAATCTTAAATTGAATGAGAGACAAATTTTTAGATTTTATATTTGTACTTTCTACTTAAAAGTTAGTATTCTAGAGACTCTTATAAGAGTCTCGCTGATATTTTGAATACCCCATGATTTTTGAAAAATTCTAAAATTTTTTAATTGAATACACATTAATTGATACACGGATATTGTTGAGAGTCCTAAAAGATTTACATTGAATACTCCAAAAAGTTTTAAATTCTTAAAAGTCTCAACTGAATACATCTCTCACTAACTTGTTTATTTAAATAGAAAAATTGTCTAAAATAGTTTAGGTATAAAGTTGATGATCAAGGAAGTTTAGATTAGCCATGTCGTGGGCCAATTATAGAAAACTCTCGAGCCTTGTGGAGTTTTTGTTTAGGACCTGTTTGATAGACCCATTTTGCTACTTATAAATCAAAATGGTACATAAGCGGTTAACGAAAATAATGTGGAGGGAAAAGATTGGATAAAAAAAGTTGATTGTGTTTTAAACCAGCAGATGATTTATAAAGCTTGTATGAGCAGTTCAATTTCTAAAAAATATTAAAGCTTGAGATTTTGGGAATTTTATAAAAAAATTTAATAAAAAATCACTAGACACGTGGTTTGACTTGACATGGCCTAACTAAGCCTACTGGTCCATGTCAAGGAAATTTTTGTCATGATATACCATCTTCAACGATCTATATCAAATTTGGTGTAATTACATTAAATTTATTTTGAATTATTTAATTATAAATTATATTATTACAAAAATCGTTGAATTAGAAATATATTTAATTAATTAAAATATTGCATTTATTAATAAATTAAAACATAACACCCCAAATTATAAAAATTACATTGAACTATTTTAAATAATTATTACTTATTAATTGGTTAGAATTTAAAAATAAATGTTAAATTAAAAAAACCATCACATTGAAATCAATCATAAATCTATTAACACTAAAATATTAAATAGGGATGTAGATGGAAGAAGCAATTTTTGTAAAGTGGAAAGAAGGACAAAATGGGGTTATTGAAATTTTTTTATTTGGTGTAACAATATTCATTACACTATATTGGTCTTGATCCTTCATCGGAGAGGGTTTTACACCAACACTAAATTTGATCCCTCGTTGGAGATGCCTTACCGACATGCAAGATTTTAGATCAACCAAAACCCGACTCCGGTCATCGATCCGTTCGCAACTGTAATTCCAACCTGCCCATATAGGTCAAGTGGAATCGACAAATGAGTGATGCCAAACCATGAAAATTTTCACCATGAGAGCCTAAGCAAATTTTCAGATAGTACCCCTAACTCCCAAAGTACCTTAAGCGAATGGACACCAAATATATGGAATTCAAACACCATTTCCAATAATAGCAAATCGACCAAGTAAACATCTGGAGAATTAATTACATAATAAACAAAACGAAGAGAGGAAAAAAAAGCAATAAATTAGTAGCTTAATTTGGGTTGCAAATTACAATCCAAGAGGCTACATGACAAAAAATGGTATCATTAATCATGACCTAGGATGAGTATACCAAAGACAAAAAACATATATTTAAGCCAAACTAAAGCATCATGAGGCCCTCAAAAATTAATTTCAACTAAAATAGAAGGGGATTAAAAAAAAAAAAAACCCTACTGAGATGTCCCTACCTTGCACCTCAGCCAATGCTCTTTTGTTGGGGTAATCTATGGTAATATACCTGATTTTCTCTATATGGCACCTCTTGTTGGGACCATTGGCTAGAGCTCGACACTATCAAGGAAGAAGCAAAGTTAAAAACTTGTCTATGTTCCAAAGAGACGTGTAGGGTTAAATGTCAAAAAAGACATTGAAAAGGTCTAGAGTATTTGGAGAAGGAATATGAGGTGAAACAAAAGTTGAAGGACTAGGCATTAAACTATAGTCTATATAATTCCTGTTACTGTGTAAAACGGGGCTGAGATCATTGAAAAACCCTAATGGATTGGGATCAGATGGTGGAGAGAAAAAAATTGGTGGGATAGGTGGAAGAGAAGCCGGGTTAGGCGACAAAATGCCCGGAAACTGGCCGGACGGCCTCTCAAACTCGGCGTTTATCTCTATTCCCTCAATCATTCCCATGTCAAAATCTTGCTGCAATTTCCTCCCTTCAGGGGATTTGGTTTTTTCAATGGAAGCAAAACGTGCAGCTGGAGATATTTCACCACTATTAACTTGAAAAGCCGAAGAAGAAGACGGTGACGAAGTGATCATAGACGAAGAACAAGTTGAATCTAGGCCGGTTAGACGTTGTACTAATGACATGAATTCATTAGGGTTTGTGTGAATTATCTTGGGAGAGACTGTGTATATAATAACCGGTGGCCGGGGTGGCACTTGGGGTCGAGCAGGTTGTGGTGGCACAGGCGGTTTTCTGATCTTGTGAGAATCTTTACGTACTTTTAGAGGTGTCGGTCTAGGCCCTTGGAGCTCTCGTCTAGGTGATCGGCCGGCCGAGATATCCAACATGTCCATGGCGGAAGGGATTGAGGGGGTGGTTTCAATGGTGTGGTTCTAGTGATAAAAATATAGACTACTTCTCTAAGACAAAGTCATATGATGACTATTTATCTATTGTCAGTCAATGATATATGAGAGTAAATAAATGCAAGAAAAATATGTTAAATTAAAATATGTATTTTATTATTGTCTACTAGTGTATAAATATTGATTCTTTCAGGCTTTTGGCCAATTTAGTGGTGTTATGAATGTTTGAACTTGTCAAAGTTTGAGGAAGGGCGGAAAGATGGGTCCATGTGCCACGCAATATTGTGAGATGATGATGTAAGGTCCATGTAAGCTTAAAAGATTGTCCATTGGATATTTAATCATATTTGACAACTATTATTTCAAAATTCTTTATTCTACATATTTATTTTCAATCACGCATTCATACAATAAAATTTTTCGTATATAAATCCAAAATTTTTTCCTATTTTTTAGCTACACAGTTTCCAAAAATTCTCTGTTCAAAACTTTATTTTTACATAATGTTATTTTGACAAAAAAAAAAAAAACATTATAGTTTAACATTGAGTACTAGCCATACGAATTACGAATAGTTAGGCCATTGTTTGGTCCCTATTATTTCCAAATATATTTTTCTCTCTCCTATTTCCAACAGCGCATTATTCAAAAAAATAATATTACACGTAAATTCAAAATTTTTCTTTATTTTTTAACCACAAATTCTCCATTAAAATACTATTTCAAAATGCATTTCAGACAAAATTAAGATGGGATTCAAATAGGCTCATATCATGAGAACTATAATTACTCTAAGGGATTTTCATAGATGTCACAAAATTTAAAAATACACCAAAGGATAATTATATTACCACTACAAATTTTATTAAGTACACACCACAATTTTCTTATTTATTTAAATATCCTTGAGTAAAATTATATAATTAGGATTTTAATATACTTTTTAATTAAATAAGTTATTGTTACACCATATAAAACTTAATTTATTTCTTTCTTTTTCTGAAAATCTCATTGCTCATAGCTTTTCCGACGGCTTGATTTCTTCCAGGCAGCAAGATAATTTTCTTTTCCTTACGGTATCAATTTAAATTGATACTCTATTTGACTTGGTAGTCAATATAATTGTGACATTATTTGTTCTCCTAAATACTCCTCTACACTGAAAGGGAGATTTTTCAAGGAGACCTAACATTACAATAAATTCTTCTCACCTTCCCAAATTTCATGAATCTCAATCAGCTGACTAGCTTTTATTGATGTAGTCTTAAAAGATATAGGGATAAGGCCAATAAAGCCATATGTGAAGGCTTCCATGGCTATATTTCTTGGCACACTTAGAGCCCTTCTAGAAGTAACTGCAACATTGTTGTTCATCTTCTTAGTAGGGGATGACTAAAATGCTTTCTTTTCCTTATTTCTTCTCTTCACTGTTGGACACAACATACAAGAACCTGCAGAGGAATTCAATCAAGGTCCTCCACTGGCTAATTCTATCGTAATAAATCATGTTCGATTGGGTGTTGGGGGACACATTTTCATAGTTGCAATTATGTTTCTCACAAGTCTGTTGATAAACTGTTTTGTGAAAAGGACACTTGTCGACAAATTTAAATCATGTAGTTTATTTTATTAGAACTTTATTAAAACTTAAACTTGATGATCTTGCCAAGATTTTCATGTCAAACCATC